TGAAAGTGATTTGCAAACCTGACTGATATCTGAAGTCCAGGCGGCCTTCTCTTGCATTGTAGGCGCCACTAAATGCAATGTATTGGCGGGTCCTGTCTTTGAATCAATTATAATCTTAAAGTCGAGACCTCCATAGTCTTTGCCACCAGAAGCTAATCCGATAGATGCCGGTTGAATACCAGTCCCACATTCGCTCGAATGACTCGACGCTGAACTTAGAGATCCCTCTGCGAAAGGAAAAGGGTTTCTCATTATTGATTGATTCATTCAATGGTGAAAGAAATGAAATGAAAGGTTGTGTTTATGAGGTGTTCAGAGTTTGAGTATGGCATCACGAGATACCCTTAGCCTCACCGCCGTCATCGACAGTGAACTGAAACTGTTCGTTAGGATCCTCTATGAGTGTCGCCTCAGATAACGGAATTTTGCCGATTCCCTACACATTCATAATGAGAATAGTATATATTGTTAATAATTATGATATCCATAATCTATATGCATATAAATTGTCCGCTACCTCGAGTAAGGTTAATTTTCCACCCGAAGTACGAGTGCATAATAGCATGTGATTAGTGAAGAGATAGCACTGACGGATAATCTCTTTCTCGCCCCGAAATGAGCCGATTCTTGAGCGCTGAAACTTGAGTTTATCGGTGCCTAACACTTGTATTACACCACCTTTTCTGATGAATACATTGTTCACATCTAATAGTATATCACATCCGCCGACAATAATCCTTTCAATCGCCAAATTGTTTCGTATATTCTCTGTTTCGCTCACTTCGTCGTGCATTTGCTTAAAAACCAATTAAACTTTTAATACATTATAAATATTTATCTAATACTAGAGATTGAGTCAATAAATGCCAAAATTTGTAATTAAATATTTTTGCTGATGAATGAATTAACGGTTTGCTTGAAAGTTTCAAAACTATTTAATTTAAGCAAACTTATAAATGCTTAATATTGTGTTTAAAATTATTTCAAATTGAATTTTATAAAAACTTTTCAGCAACAATATAAAGATTAACTACATTTATGTTTAAATATATAAACATTACATTGATATAGGTTTAATTAAAATTTTAAGTCATATAACTTAGATCTAATATACTGTATATTTGTTTTTGTTTTGAGTGAAACCGGAATCAGATTAAAGACATGGAAAATATTGTCGGATAAGACTTAATCTGTATTATTATTAAATATTTATTGATGCAATTGAATAGATGTTGCGTTAGAGTCAATTAAAATTGATTGCTTGGATGAAAGGATACATATTTAAAGACATGGAAAATATTGTCGGATAAGACTTAATCTGTATTATTATTAAATATTTATTGATGCAATTGAATAGATGTTGCGTTAGAGTCAATTAAAATTGATTGCTTGGATGAAAGGATACATATATTGATTATTATAATGACCGTTCAATTACTCAATAATCACACGATTAGTCTTAAACTCATTCATTGCAATATAAGAGATAATCGGATAAAAACTAATGTTTACACTCAAGTCTAATATTAAATATAATATAAAGGCTTTACATAAAACGAGGCTATAATTTATGGTTCGAGTCGATCATAACATTTATAGTTATTTGTTATGATTCAATACGATAAATTGCTATTACAATAATATGGGAACACACCTAAAGTTACGTTCACTTTTGGGTTCATCGAGCATATAATTAGAGCAAATACTATAACTTTATATATGAAATAAATACAAAACCGAGTCTAACCCGTGAGAGCTCTTCCAGTTTGATGCGAGCGTTTTCCAGACTTTTTCTCTCGACGTGATTGTGTGGCGTATGAGCGAGTAATTCATGTAATGTTATTATATAACGGGGGACCTGAAAATGTAATTATCAATGGCTTTAAATAATTGATTCTCGTAATAGACATTTGGATGTGTTCTCAAAATGAGAGTACTTTTTTCTCATCCAAACACAACTGTGTAATACCTGATGCATGGGATAAGTCAGAAACGTTTCCAGAGTTCTCCCTAACCAACAAAAACCAGACAGAAGTTAACTCTTTATATTATTTCAATTGTTTGCATTGTTTGCAATTGGATTTAAATGATAATTGCAATAGAATTAATATTTGTAAAATTTGTGCGCTAGTTGTGGAGAGCAAATTGTATTGTTTAAAAAAATCATGTTCAATTTGACTTTTTCTCAATTTAATTTTGCGTAAATATACAGAAAATAAAGTGTTTGTGTTGTGTTGGATGCGCTGCAAGTGATGCGGAAATTCTTATATATAACCAATTTTCTGGTCACTCATCCATTTTCTCTTATTTTCAACACTTAAAGCGTCAAAATTTGTGATAAAAATTGCATTTTCACAATAAATTGCAATTAAAATCACGATTCGTTAAATTAATTCAATAAAATCTCATTTTAGTACTAAATAACTCGTATGAATAGATTCTCTAATTTATAAGCCGTTAATGTCAAACAAATCATTGCATTTATTTGCTGTAGTTTTTAAACTTGGTTATTATAAAGTTACTTGGTTACTTTATATAAAATGTATCCCCAATAAGAGATCATTACATAATATTAAGATATAAAGCACGGCATATATGCTATAGGCAACACATTTCTATAATTATATAACGTTATATATAGTGTACATCAATACTAGCGAAACAAACAATAATTAAATCCAAGAGATCTTGTTATTGAGTGTATCATTTGTAATGCTGTACTTGTTTTAAATGTCATTTCTTGTATATTTAATAATACTTTAGTCGAGCTTATGGTTTGCCAAATAATTAATTTAATAACAATTACATTTTGAAACAGAGGCACTCACCTATGCTTTTAGCTATACATGTAATCATATTCTATTCAATGGCTATATTCTTATGTCTAATGTTTGTCACAAACAAAATTAAAGTAGACATTGGCTCAAAATTAATAATTTACAAATTTTAAGCATCGATTTTTTAAAGTAAATCTATTTAATTTTTTAATAATTGTTTTTTACTACAAAGAAATTTCATTTTATAGTACATTAATAATTAAAATTTATGATTCAAAGCATCCATTACATCAGTTTGAAATATATTTAATGAGTTTCTATATTGTATATCGAGAGGACTACTGAAAGTCCTGTCTATCATAGTTATAAACATTACTCTCCGTAAGGACTGAGATGTAATAAATTTGAGATTATTGCTTTTCACTACAGCATAATAGCAATGCAGCCAATAGTAAAAATCATTATGAATAGTGTGTTATTTGACTCAAAAACTATAACTTCTAATTGTATGGTTCGGTTCACGAGCCATAAACTAATATTTTAAATCAACCATAACTTTATCAAAAAAAAAGTAAATTTTGATTGAGAAATAAAAAAGTAATAAATGTTTGGTATAGAGTTATGCAAAACAATTGGTGTGAAATGATATATAAGAGATGCAAACCCTGTAGCAATGGTTTCTCTTCGAGACGTCTCAACATTCCGGCGAATTTCTCCCTTTGCTTACACTCTGCGAGCACTTGAAGACTGAAGTGATGGTTGCGGACGTACTCCTGGTATATACAGAGCATAGGTAGGAGCATATCGAACAGGTCTCCTATACCGTTGGGGCGAAAAAGGCGAGAAAAAAGTTGCACATAAGAGCTAACATGAAATTATCTACTCTCTACTGGGGGTGCAGTTCCTTATAGCCGCATACCTAGTACTAGAGTGGGCCAGCACTCCATCCGAGCCGTCAAACCTTTCAGGAATATCTGATGCAAAAACATGACGGTCTCGCTGTTCAAGAAGATCGAGTTCACCTCATCGTGACTGCACGGAGGCTTCTGACTGCTGGCCGCCATCTTAAATGGCCGCAGAAAACACGACACCATCAGCTGTAACTGTTCCAGATATTCCTCCTCAGCCTCAACCATACGGAATACCAAACTTTTGTTTGGTTTTTGTTTTTACGTGTAAAACACAAGATTTAATTAAATGTTACATTTGTTTGAAGCGATTACGTAAGCGTCAAGTGGTATGGATTTCAACACATCAAAAAATTTCATATTAGATAACAATTATTGCAAATCAATGACAAAACCTAATGTAATATCATATTTCAAAACAATCTATAATTTTTTCCGTAGTATTACTGTTGCGTAACAAACGTCTAATTTAATTACTTTTAGTCGATAAAGAAAATAGTGATATAGTATTAGTGCAAAAGTAAACGAAAGTGACTGATATATGAAAGAGATGTTTGGCTGATAGAGGATTGGGTATGAAATGGTAGAGTATGTCTAAACCTGTTTCTCTTCCTCATGTTCTCCGCGTGGGGAGAATTGATGTATTCGATGACAATCTGTTTCCATCTGCGTCTGCAAAGCCATCCGCGGAAAAAACTTTGCACTTTCTTTATTTTGCGGATCTCTTCGCTGTCCTCATCCAAACTGAGGCTCCGATTCGGCGTTAGTCTCCACTCACGCTTTAAAGTCAATAACTGACAAACATTTTATTGTTTTTAAATTAACGCTAAATTATTCTTAATATCTTAATTAAAAACATGTTAATTATGTCAACAATATATTCGGCTATTAATTGTATTGTTAAACAAAGAACTTCTACTAAAAGGGCACTAAAACCTTGAAATAACTTATTACCCAATTTGGAGGCAGTAAAGCTAATGATAATATAAACTCTATGTAAATTTACCGTCTAGATTTGATATTGCTAAAAAATATTCTTACATAACACATATGTTTATAAATAGACAATAAATTTATATCTAATATTATTGTTATAGATAACTAATATTAAGTATAACAAAATGTAACTTTTAAATACAATAAAATTGAACATTTGACACACAGAATACAATTTTCTATTAAAATTCTCAATCATAAATTATTTAATAAATTTTAGTATAGATTCTAAAGTTGTACTAACTTTCAGTAGAATATGACTTAACTTTTTAACAATTTTACTCAACACTAACTAATAAATTAAATTAAATAAACTTTATATATTTTAATATATAAATTTGGTAATGATAGACATTATGTTTATTATCGTTAGCAACGCCTGTATGGAGACGAGACTCAAAGAACTAAAGTTGCCACTCAAGAAGCGTGACAACACACATAACGGTAAACCGACAGTTCTCGCTCTCCACTATTTGAACCAAATGGAGGTGTTTTTGCTCTAATTCTTCTTTTTGTAGCAAAGTTTTGCTAAAACTAATAAAACACATCAATAATACATGCGATATATTAATATTATGCGAATGGGTGTCAACGCATTTAATTGACAAAATATGTTTCGCTGTTAATGAATGCATAAAATGTAATTTATTAAATTATAGACTAAGAAATACTCTTTTCCCTATAAACGCATAAATCATAGACAGCTCTCTCTCTCTCTCTCTCTCTCTCTCCTCTACATACACATGATTATATACCGTATATAACTATATGGTTATATACTTATATTCTGTAGTCTACTGTATAGATAAATGATAGATAAATTTCGTATTGCCTGTGAAACATAATGTATATAAAACTACGGATTATTTGTCAGTAGTGTTCATGTCTTTTAAGATGAAATTTGGATGAATGAGTGCCCGAAGCACTCTATTTACTCAGTATTGCAATTCTTTTCAAATAAAATACAAATATATTTCTCTCTCTCTAATGTTTTTCAATTTTTATTATAAAAATAAGGTTTTTGTTGCGTTGAGTTATAGCACTGTTTTATACTAAAAGAGATCATTTCCCAAATTGTTTGATTCAACTTATTTTTAAAACATTGTAAGGAATATAACGTATAAATTGATGGCATGAATATCTGTTTGGCATAAATATTTAATGAATCAGTTTTTTGTTTGATATATTATTCAAAATGTCTTTTTCGTTGTTTTTGCAGAACTTCTTCACAATAACATATCGGAAAGAGGGGTCCAAACAATACGAGCTGAAGGCTGAGAACGAGACTGAATGCAATGCATGGGTTCACGCCATTGATAACGCCAGGTATGGCTCAGTTCATGGATATATTTTACATAATCTTATGCTTACATACATTTACCAGACGTTTAGAGAGAGAGAGAGAGAGAGAGAGAGAGAATGTGGACACAAATTCCTTGCATAGCATCCAACCATAAAAGAAAATTGTCATTTCATTAGAGAACTTCATTACAATAAAATTCATTTCCCATTCTCTATACGAGTGCTATATTTATACACCATTTGTGCACCAAATCGTTACAAACAATACGAAACCCATTTATAAATTTTCAAATTCAAACCCAATTATTGTACTCTTTTTGTAATTTTATTTCGTTTGTAATGTTTGTTCATTCAATTTGTACTT